AAACGCGGGATGATTTAGGCAGCCAAAGGTTTCCTTTTTCGTCTTTCCTGTGGATCAACCCTGCCCATTGCCTTCGCCTTTCACTATTTTTCAATTCCGTTGGGAAGGGAAACAGTTTGAACAGAGGTTTGCAGTCACACACATCTGATTCCCTTTTGCAGTTATGGAGTTCACAAACACATTTCTCGAGCCGTTTTCCACTGTTAGGATCCAACACCCACACAATTACTATGTCTGAATCCCAAAACTAAAATATGAAAATATCAGAACCAGAAACAAAAGTGATACGGTTCAAAAGACTACAAAAGATCGACTTTGTAAATAGACGCATCCCACTGGGAAAACAGACATGGTAGTTTGATGCTCACTTTTTCTGAAAATCCTTCCCAGTATGTAATGCGCAATGACAGGAAATCCGAGATTCTTGATGCGTGTATTGTCAAAACCGCACCCGCCCACCATCTGAGTTCCGAGTTTTTAATTTGAGAAGTTAGGGGCAAAGTGGAGTTCTACATCAACGCAAAGCACACTGCCGTCGTTTTTGGTGTATGGCTCTGCTTTGAGGTCTATGCGCCGCCAAGTAATTTAGTGCCAAAACGATGTATGTCCATTCATATATACAGTCTGTGTGTACGACCTGCAGATGTATAATTTCTGAAAAGTTTCACATGAACCATCTCCAATGTAACAGAAGCACAGAACAGACTCACCATCAGCAGAACACCCCTCTAACACAGAAAGAACACATATAATCCACGGTTTTCTTTTTAGGTCCAATAGAAGCTCAACCGCCTCCGGGCACAAGGAGCGAGCTGTTTTTTTTTTTTTTTCAGTGCTTATAGTTTATGCAAATGAGCCATGTGGTTTTAAGCTTCGTTTCTGTAAAGCATAAACAAATATGCACAAAGCTGCATTAAACACATTATTATTCAGTGTATAATGTTGAATAAGGTATAATGAAAATTTCTGAAGTGCATGTCGGTCAACGCAGATGCTTTGCGTAGGGGGTTCATCACGTCATCCACCCGACCCGCGGTTTAGCTGCGAAGTCCGCGGCTGTAACTGCCATCCACCTTGACAACAAGTGGCCCCCGCCTTGACTACATCCCTCCGAAACACGTGAATCCTCGCAAAACTACTGTCATCTCAGCGAATCTCCGCGAACTTTCTCCTTACTTTTTCACCAGCACCGCCTTGCCTGAATAATTTCTTGTGGGAAACACTGCATATGATTCTATTAGTTCATGATAGTACAGTGTAGGTCATTTCTTGCTCTGGTACACATGGTGAACTTTGGACACTATAAAACCATTGTACAAGTTAAATCTGAACTGAATAGAAAGAGTTGTTTGTCCGGAAAGATCACATTCCTTCTCTCACCAAAGCACTATCACTACCACTATCAATACTATTTTTAAATCCAATAACATTCACAAATCAACCTTTTACTTTTATGCAATCATTTCTACATTATGTATCACAGACTTATTGTTTAAATTACAAAATAAAAGAAATACGAATAGGAACAGCTCACTTAGTCAGATAAAGAAAACATAGGAATGCACTTTTTTGACAGTCAAAGATACTGAAATTTGGGGACCTGGTAAAACTTTAAACATGCCAAATCTTATTTAAAGCGAAATACAACCTGCTCCCAGATAATATTCATTCGTTCATTCATTTTTCAAAATAAAACCAAAAATGAGAAAATGAAAAAAACATTTTCTTCATTATTTGTCTCCAAAACTAAAATGAAAAAACGAATAACGATTCATTTCCCGTTTCTGTGACTTAAACTGCGATGCCGGACTTTTGCACAGCATACGGACTGAACCAGGACTGAACCAGGACTAAAACAGGACTGAACAAGGACTGAACAAGGACTAAACGAGACATTTTGTGGCTTCTTTATCATTCTCACTGTGGTTTATTTTGTATTATAAACGATAAACTTTTGTGCCTTCGTTAACATTATTATTAGTTTGTACGACTGTAAACTGAAAACAAAAATTTATCTTTACATTTTTCATTCTTATTTTGCTTATTTTGATACAATCATAAATGGTAAACTTTTGTGCCTTCATCATTATTATTAGTTTAAAAATGTGCTTTTCTGTTGTTTATAATTTATAAGTAGTATGTGTTTTCCCTCAAGTTTGTTTCCTTCTTAGCAGAAACTTGAAATGAAAAAAAATCAATCAATATAGACACTTTTTTTTTTTTTTTTACAGGGGTGTAGCTCCAAATTCAGGACTCTGGGTACAAATCACCCAGTGGGCCCATACTACATGTTGTTTAATGAAAAATGCACATTACAGGCTTTGTGAGGGGCCCCTCCTTGCAACAACCTTTGTACATTTTTGTTTAGTGACAAATTTTATCAGCAAATTTAGCATCATTTCAGCCAAAATGTAAACCAAAATAAAGTGGGATTTCCTCCACAGTGTAAGATTTTGTGCTATTGATACATATTTCTATGACATTCATGCAAAAAATGTAAAAGAAAATATAAAATTGACCATATAGGCACTTACAGATGTGTTTTCTTAGTCTGGCGTTTTCAGGAGAGCTTGTTCTGTCTTTGTACTTCCAAACCAAATGCATTTTATTTTCATTTTTAACAATAGATATCAAGGCGAGGCTGCCACACCTCGCGTTCACCGCAGGACTTGTTTGGCAAATGCAGTGTTTGGACTACAAATATTTGATGTATTTACTGTTTATGCTTCACAGGTGACAGAAATTTGTGATAGAAATTCAGAAATTGCTCATGAATAGAAAGAGGGTCCAATTCTGGGCCCCTAAAACCCTGGGCCCTTTCTGTCTACTGCCCTGTAACTTATTTATTAAGAAAGAAGAAACATGAATTTGCTCATGTGAACCACAAGAGGGCAGTATTGTTTTTATTTTCTCAGCAGACTAAAGCTTGAAAGGAAACTAAACAGAAAATAGATACAAAATTTAATGTACATAAAAACAACAAAATGTAGTTTGGCATTTGGGAGAAAGGAGATATTTAAAGGTGCACTATGTAACTTTTTGGTTGGGTATCTGTCACCTGCTTTATTCTATGGATATGTCATTACTCCGTCTGGAATGTTCCACAGTATGACATTAAACAGCTTAACCTTACATTTATTTAATTGCAGGTGGTTTTACAGCTCAAAAATAGGTGTTCTGACTGTGGGTCTCTCCACAGATCTGACCTGTAACCTGGTCTGGTGTCCATGAAGATAAAAAGCTTTAATGTCATACAGTGAAACATTTCAGACAATAACAACTCCATGAAGAAAAACATTTGATGGACCCTCCACCAGAAAAGTTACACAATGCACCTTTAATGTAAATAAAAAAACATATTTCTATACTGTCCATCAATGACACCCATAGATCATTATGTTATATTTCCATCCATCCATTTTCTTCCTTTTTGGGAAGCGGGGGCAGCAGTGTAAGCAGGGACTCCCAGCGTGACCTGGGTCTTCCCTGGGGCCTCCTCCCGTTGGAACATGCCCAGAACATCTCCAGACGGAGGCAACCAGGAGACATCTGGAACACATGCCCTCCCCTCAGCTGCTCCTCTCGACATGGAGGAGCAGCGGCTCTACTCCGAGCTCCTCCTGTGTGACTGAGCTCCTCACACTGTCTCTAAGGGAGCACCCAGCATGTTATATTTTGCATGTTTTAAATCACAATATTGATCTCAAATGACTTAATAAATGAAAACAGAGACAAAGAAAAAAAAGTGAACTCACAGGTTGTTGTACAGTTGTAGGGAGTATTATCTGTTACATAAGGGTGAGTTGTTGTACAGTTGTAGGGAGTATCAGTGTAAAGTAACATTATACAAATATAAGTTCATATACAGTATATGTTGTTTTATTTACATTAATTGTGGGACAGGGCCAAATATGATAAAATCCTTTAGAGCTCGGGCTGAGTGTGATAAAAACAATAAAAAAACAAAAACATCTTCAACATCATTAGATCAATTATAGTTAAACTGTTTCAAATTCATGTTTTAAAGATCCACTAAATGTTCCAGGGGAGTGTCCTTCAGCTACATGTTATAGCTTTGTCTGGAAAGTTCCACACTGTGGCATTACAGTTTTATTTTTCCATGGCGCATTTTTTAAAACTTGGTTTAGTTTGATCTTTTGGTTCAAACCTGTATCTGCACAGGGGTTCAGGTTCTCACATCATTTGGAACATTTCTCCTGAGTTGACACAGTTCTCAGACTCTTCCTCACAACACTGACACAGCTCTCATGCACAAACACATGAACAGTGAGTTCACATTGTTTTTTCAACTCTACAGGTCTGTCCACATCTGCTATTCGAACCCTATTCGAACCCTCCTTGTGGTTAGCTGATCCTGTACAAGGCTCCGCCCACAAGCTTACGTCACCCATGCTCCCACATGACAATAAATGCATCCTGAATTTCAGACTTCTGGTCATTGCACAATGCATGCTGGGAAGGATGCATTGCGCTCTACATACAAAATGTTCGCTACAAACTCAGGATGATTTCTTAGGCAGCCAAAGGTTTCCTTTTTTGTTCTTCCTCTGCATCAGTCCTGCCCATCGCCTCCGCCTTTCACTATTTTTCAATTCCATTGGGAAGGGAAACAGTTTGACGGAGGTTTGCAGTCACACACATCTGATTCCCTTTTGCATTTACTGAGTTTGCAAACTTCCGAAGCCTGTTTTCCACTGTTAGGACATTCAACAACCATAATCCCAAAACTAAAATATGACAATATCAGAACCAGAAACAAAAGCGATATGGTTCAAAAGATTTGAAAGGATCGGCTTCGAGAGTAGATTCAACCCACTGGGAAATTAAACATGGCGGTTTGATGCTAATTTTTTCAGAGGATCCTTCCCAGTATGCATTGCGTCCAGAATTCAGGTGCATGTATTCTCCATAAATATACAAAACAATGGCATTTGCAAAACAATAAAATCTAACAAGGTGCTCTAAATATGTTGTGTGTAACCAGTTAATACCCCATAGAAGTAAAAGACCCCCCCCCCCCCCTTAATAAAACCACCACCACTGTGAGTTCTTGTTTTCGGGCGGCTCCTGAGGTTCAATTCTCAGAGGCGTTTTATCAGTAGTGTTAAAGAAGGGATAGATCTTCTCCTTGAAATTATACGTGAACGTATGGATGCATGCCTTTGTATCCGCATCGCAAAATGACAATTTCCATTTCTTAAAATCCAAGGTTATTCTGATTTTTGTAGGCTTATTCTTCAGGGAGAGTTTGACGGCAACGTTGGGCGTGGAGAAAGCATAGCATTCGTCCCCACACAAACTGATCCTCCACAAGCCCGAGTCGGAGCACATGCTTCCTTTTCGCTGGAACGACTCTGAGACAACACCCAGAAGCCAGTTTGAATTCTTCTCCACGACAACAACCCAACTGTGAGCGCCGCTGTCAAAAGCTTCAGACCCAAGCACAGACAGAAACTTATCAAACCTCTCAGGATTATCTGGGAGGTTCTTCTTGGTGTCATGGCTCACACTGGTCAGATCACTGGACAAAAGCAGCTCTCCTTGGGCTGTGTTAGGATCGAGAACAAAAGGCCTGTACTCCACCAGTTTCTTCATACTGGTCCAGATGTTGAAGATCAGGTTGCCCAGATGTTTGGCCTGGTCTAGCAGAGCTTCTGGAGCCAGCTGTGGTTCCTCCTGCAGGGGGCAGAGCTGAACTCTTTCCACTGAAGCCTTGTATTCCAGCAGGAAGGAGACGTCTGTGGCTCTCAGCTGATCCTCTGTGGCTTTGATGGTTTCTGACAGAGCTTTTATCTCTCTACTCACAGCCTTCATTTTGGTCTTCACGCTCTGAATCTTCTGCGCCTCTTCCTCCTTCACAGCCATGATCCTGGTCTCCTCATCCTCCACCAGAAACTGATGCAGCTTCTTGAAATCCTCACGGATCTGCTTCTGGGTATCTTGGGCTTGCTTCTTGATATGGTCCACGGTCTGAGCACAGCAGATGTTGAACTCTCGTAGGATTTTGAGTTTTTCTTCAAGCGGTTGCAAGGACGTGCGGATCACGTCTCGATTCTCAGTAGCTGCCTCAATCACAGGCTTGAAACCGTGATCCTTGTGCGCGGAGGAGTCTCTACACACAACACAGATTGGCTCCAGGTCGTGTAAACAGAACAGCTTGAGTTTCTCAGAGTGTAGATCACAGTTCTCCTCTGGATGGCTTTGCACATGGGCCTCACACAGGTGCTTCGGAGCCAAGTTGCGAGGCGGATGCTGCAGCGACGATGGTACCTTGCAAACCGGACATTCACGGCTAGGTTTTTTGGTCCACCAGTTTGAGAGGCAGCCTTTGCAAAAACTGTGGCTGCACAACAAGATAACAGGCTCTTGGAAAATGTCGGAGCAAATAGGGCAGGTGAGGTCAGGTTTATCAGACATGATGTGCACCTGCAAAACAAAACACACAGGAGTTCAAAGCAAATATAGCAACTATGATTAAAGGGACAATACTTTATTTCTATGAAGTATTCATTGCTAAGACATGCAAACATATTTACATCACCATTTTACTTTTTGTTGTTTTGAGAATGCTATATTTGCCAGAAATAAAGCCTTAAAGGGCCCATCTTACACTATCTTCTGATCTCTGTTAAAATGTTGTTTCCTCATCACAAACAGACCTGGAGTTGTGTTTTATTTCACTTACACATGTTTAACACTCAAACCCTGCATATTTAGGCTGAGTGTTTTCTGTCTGAGAGAAGAACTCAGCCTAAATATGCAGGGTTTGTGCGTTCAACATGTGTGAACGATATCAATGTAATATCATATCACATATAATATAATATCAGTGTTTCCCACAGCACTTTATAGTTAGGGCGACTGCCTTATGGAGATGCGCAGATGGGCTATTTTTTCATCCTCAACCACATCACAAAAACTCATCATCCGTCCGCTATCTATTTTCACCAATGTTTTTTGACCAATACACACATCAAGAATCTCGGACTTCTGGTCATTGCGCAGTGCATACTGGGAAGGATTTTCAGAAAAAGGGAGCATCAAACCGACATGTTTGTTTTCCCAGTGGGATGCGTCTGTTGACAAAGTCGATCTTTTCTAGTTTTTTTAACCATATCGCTTTTGTTTCTGGTTCTGATATTTTCATATTTTAGTTTTGGGATTCAGACATTGTTATTGTGTGGTTGTTGGATTCTAACAGTGGAAAACGGCTCGAGAAATTTGTTTGTGAACTCCATAAATGCAAAAGCGAATCAGATCTGTGTGACTGCAAACCTCCGTTCAAACTGTTTCCCTTCACAACGGAATTGAAAAATAGTGAAAGGTGAAGGCGATGGGCAGGATTGAGCCACAGGAAGGATGAAAAAGGAAACATTTGACTGCCTAAATCATCCCGAATTTGCAGCGAATATTTTGTATGTGGAGCTGATCCTCACTCAACCTCGGTTACGAATTTAAAAAGTCAATGCCAAAGCAAAAGGCACCAGCTGTTCGCCAAGAAACACCTTCCACTGCAAAGCGACCAAGACGTGATGTTGCTGTAAAACCACAAGAACAAGAAAGTGCAAGCGCAGTCTGTTTGTCTTCTGCACTTCTCGCTTAACAAATGGGATTTTGCTTTGTTGGTGCTCCACGTACAAAATGTTCACTGCAAACTCGGGATGATTTGATGCTTTGCGTAGGGGGTTCATCACGTCATCCACCCGACCCGCGGTTTAGCTGCGAAGTCCGCGGCTGTAACTGCCATCCACCTTGACAACAAGTGGCCCCCGCCTTGACTACATCCCTCCGAAACACGTGAATCCTCGCAAAACTACTGTCATCTCAGCGAATCTCCGCGAACTTTCTCCTTACTTTTTCACCAGCACCGCCTTGCCTGACCAATTTCTTATGGGAAACACTGCATATGATTCTATTAGTTCATGATAGTACAGTGTAGGTCATTTCTTGCTCTGGTACACATGGTGAACTTTGGACACTATAAAACCATTGTACAAGTTAAATCTGAACTGAATAGAAAGAGTTGTTTGTCCGGAAAGATCACATTCCTTCCAAAACCTAATTATCTACCACTAATTATCACTACTACTATTTTTAAATCCAACAACATTCACAAATCAACTTTTTACTTTTATGCAATCATTTCTACATTATGTATCACAGACTTATTGTTTAAATTACAAAATAAAAGAAATACGAATAGGAACAGCTCACTTAGTCAGATAAAGAAAACATAGGAATGCACTTTTTTGACAGTCAAAGATACTGAAATTTGGGGACCTGGTAAAATTTAAAACATACCAAATCTTATTTAAAGCGAAATACAACCTGCTCCCAGATAATATTCATTCGTTCATTCATTTTTCAAAATAAAACCAAAAATGAGAAAATGAAAAAAAACATTTTCTTCATTATTTGTCTCCAAAACTAAAATGAAAAAACAAATAACGATTCATTTCCCGTTTCCGTGACTTAAACTGCGATGCCGGACTTTCGCACAGCATACGGACTGAACCAGGACTGAACCAGGACTAAAACAGGACTGAACAAGGACTGAACCAGGACTAAACGAGAAATTTTGTGGCTTCTTTGTCATTCTTACTGTGGTTTATTTTGTATCATAAACGATAAACTTTTGTGCCTTCGTTAACATTATTATTAGTTTGTACGACTGTAAACTGAAAACAAAAATTTATCTTTACATTCTTCATTCTTATTTTGCTTATTTTGAGACAATCGTAAACTTTTGTGCCTTCATCATTATTATTAGTTTAAAAATGTGCTTTTCTGTTGTTTATACTTTATAAGTAGTATGTGTTTTCCCTCAAGTTTGTTTCCTTCTTAGCAGAAACTTGAAATGAAAAAAAAAATCAATCAATATAGACACTTTTTTTTTTTTTTTTTTTACAGGGGTGTAGCTCCAAATTCAGGACTCTGGGTACAAATCACCTTGGTGGGCCCACACTACATGTTGTTTAATGAAAAATGCACATTACAGGCTTTGTGAGGGGCCCCTCCTTGCAACAACCTTTGTACATTTTTGTTTAGTGATGACAAATTTTAGCAGCAAATTTAGCATCATTTCAGCCAAAAAGTAGACCAAAATAAAGTGTGATTTTGTGCTATTGATACATATTTCTATGATATTCATGCAAAAAATGTAAAAGAAAATATAAAATTGACCATATAGGCACTTACAGATGTGTTTTCTTAGTCTGGCGTTTTCAGGAGAGCTTGTTCTGTCTTCGTACTTCCAAACCAAATGCATTTTATTTTCATTTTTAACAATAGATATCAAGGCGAGGCTGCCACACCTCGCGTTCACCGCAGGACTTGTTTGGCAAATGCAGTGTTTGGACTACAAATATTTAATGTATTTACTGTTTATGCTTCACAGGCGACAGAAATTTGTGATAGAAATTCAGAAATTGCTCATGAATAGGAAGAGGGTCCAATTCTGGGCCCCTAAAACCCTGGGCCCTTTTGTCTCTGTCTACTGCCCTGTAACTTATTTATTAAGAAAGAAGAAACATGAATTTGCTCATGTGAACCACAAGAGGGCAGTATTGTTTTTATTTTCTCAGCAGACTAAAGATTGAAAGGAAACTGAACAGAAAATAGATACAAAATTTAATGTACATAAAAACAACAAAATGTAGTTTGGCATTTGGGAGAAAGGAGATATTTAAAGGTGCACTATGTAACTTTTTGGTTGGGTATCTGTCCCCTGCTTTATTCTATGGATATGTCATTACTCCGTCTGGAATGTTCCACAGTATGACATTAAACAGCTTAACCTTACATTTATTTAATTGCAGGTGGTTTTACAGCTCAAAAATAGGCGTTCTGACTGTGGGTCTCTCCACAGATCTGACCTGTAACCTGGTCTGGTCTGGTGTCCATGAAGATAAAAAGCTTTAATGTCATACAGTGAAACATTTCAGACAATAACAACTCCATGAAGAAAAACATTTGATGGACCCTCCACCAGAAAAGTTACACAATGCACCTTTAATGTAAATAAAAAAACATATTTCTATACTGTCCATCAATGACACCCATAGATCATTATGTTATATTTCCATCCATCCATTTTCTTCCTTTTTGGGAAGCGGGGGCAGCAGTGTAAGCAGGGACTCCCAGCGTGACCTGGGTCTTCCCTGGGGCCTCCTCCCGTTGGAACATGCCCAGAACATCTCCAGACGGAGGCAACCAGGAGACATCTGGAACAGATGCCTCTCCCTCAGCTGCTCCTCTCGACGTGGAGGAGCAGCGGCTCTACTCCGAGCTCCTCCTGTGTGACTGAGCTCCTCACACTGTCTCTAAGGGAGCGCCCAGCATGTTTTATATTTTGCATGTTTTAAATCACAATATTGATCTCAAATGACTTAATAAATGAAAACAGAGACAAAGAAAAAAAAGTGAACTCACAGGTTGTTGTACAGTTGTAGGGAGTATTATCTGTTACATAAGGGTGAGTTGTTGTACAGTTGTAGGGAGTATCAGTGTAAAGTAACAATATACAAATATAAGTTCATATACAGTATATGTTGTTTTATTTACATTAATTGTGGGACAGGGCCAAAATATGATAAAATCTTTAGAGCTCGGGCTGAGTGTGATAAAAACAATAAAAAAAACAAAAACATCTTCAACATCATTAGATCAATTATAGTTAAACTGTTTCAAAATTCATGTTTTAAAGATCCACTAAATGTTCCAGGGGAGTATCCTCAGCTACATGTTATAGCTTTGTCTGGAAAGTTCCACACTGTGGCATTACAGTTTTATTTTTTCCATGGCGCATTTTTTTAAAACTTGGTTTAGTTTGATCTTTTGGTTCAAACCTGTATCTGCACAGGGGTTCAGGTTCTCACATCATTTGGAACATTTCTCCTGAGTTGACACAGTTCTCAGACTCTTCCTCACAACACTGACACAGCTCTCATGCACAAACACATGAACAGTGAGTTCACATTGTTTTTTCAACTCTACAGGTCTGTCCACATCTGCTATTCGAACCCTATTCGAACCCTCCTTGTGGTTAGCTGATCCTGTACAAGGCTCCGCCCACAAGCTTACATCACCCATGCTCCCACATGACAATAAATGCATCCTGAATTTCAGACTTCTGGTCATTGCACAATGCATGCTGGGAAGGATGCATTGCGCTCTACATACAAAATGTTCACTACAAACTCGGGATGATTTCTTAGGCAGCCAAAGGTTTCCTTTTTTGTTCTTCCTCTGCATCAGTCCTCCTGCCCATCGCCTTCGCCTTTCACTATTTTTCAATTCCATTGGGAAGGGAAACAGTTTGAACGGAGGTTTGCAGTCACACACACATCTGATTCCCTTTTGCATTTACTGAGTTTGCAAACTTCCGAAGCCTGTTTTTCCACTGTTAGGACATTCAACAACCATAATCCCAAAACTAAAATATGACAATATCAGAACCAGAAACAAAAGCGATATGGTTCAAAAGATTTGAAAGGATCGGCTTCGAGAGTAGATTCAACCACTGGGAAATTAAACATGGCGGTTTGATGCTAATTTTTTCAGAGGATCCTTCCCAGTATGCATTGTGTCCAGAATTCAGGTGCATGTATTNCCTGTTTTTGCCTCTACCACTGATAGTGATGTAGAAAGTGGAAAACAGCCCAGCAATGCTACAACGAATGTCCCTGATCCAGGTACCCGCAGCATTCCACACGCTGCTGCTCCAAGCATTCCTGTTCTTGATGAAGGTACAATAAACCCACCTCACGTCCAAAAGGTCATAGTTGAACATTTCATTCGCAGTGATTCCACACCTTCTAGCTACAGCCAAAGTAGAATTCGCACATTCTCTGGGCGGCTGCCAAAACCAAATGGAGAGGTTGATTATGATGCTTGGCGTACACAAGTGGATCTACTTCTGAGTGACATGTCCCTCTCTGATTCACAGAAAGTAAGGAGAATACTGGAGAGCCTCCTCAGCCCAGCTGCGGATATTGTCAAACCACTTGGAACAAATGCAACTCCCCAAGCTTACCTCACTCAACTTGAGTCAGCCTTTGGAGAAGTAGAAGATGGAGAGGAGCTTTTTGCGACTTTCCTGGGCTCTAACCAAAATTCAGGTGAAAAGTCCTCAGTCTATTTAAACCGCCTCCAAACCCTCATTACAAAAGCCATATCTAGAGGGGGAGTTTCAGCTGCTGAGTCCGACAGGTACTTACTCCGACAGTTCTGTAGAGGGTGTTGGGACCAGAGCATCATCATTGGTCTCCAGCTTGAGCACAGGAAAAGCAACCCCCCTACGTTCCCAGAGTTGCTTCTGCTTTTGAGGGACAGAGGAAGACAGGAGAGCAGCAAAAATGGATCGTATGAAAAAGCACCTTGGAAGTTCAAGAGCCACTGCACACGTTCATTCAGTCATGAGTATGCCAGTAATTGAAAATGAGCCCATCCCTGCAACAGAAAGGAAACATGAAACAAATTTGAAACTTGAGAAAGAAGTAGCAGAGTTGAGGAAACAAGTTGCAAAGCTATTAGAGCAAGGAAAGAAAGGGCAAAGACATGAAGAGGTGCAGAGTCACCCAGCCCACAATGAACAACCTGTTCAGAGTGAAAGTTTACTCGCTCAAGCTTCAAACAGAGACTCAAATTCCCGAACACCAACGCCACCCAAGCCTTGGTTCTGTTTTAAATGTGGGGGTGATGGGCACATTGCAGCAAACTGCACTTTTGAGCCAAATCCAAGCCTTGTCCGTAAAAAGAATGCGGAGCTCAAAGAAAAACGAAATAAATTCTGGGCCCGGCAGGCAACCAGCCAGACTCCTTTAAACTTTTAGAGGCTCCTGCTACGGGACGATCAGGAGCTGGAGGCAGAGAGCAGAAAAGTCCCATAGCAATGATACACAATGAACGGTCTTCTGAAAGCAATGACGATCCAAACTGTAGACTACCTCATGGACTTGTGGGCCCACGGTGCACTTCAACTATCTCAATTGGAGACATAAATTGTGAATCCATTCTTGACACTGGGTCCCAAGTAACGACGATTTCGGAGGCCTTCCACTCCAAATACTTGTCAAACTTACCTATTCATTCAATACACAACCTTCTTGAGGTGGAAGGCGCTGGAGGTCAAGCAGTACCATACCTTGGGTATGTAGAAGCCCACTTAACATTCCCAGAAGATGTTACTGGAACAGAGGAACAAATGCCTGTTTTAGCACTCATTGTCCCTGAATATGAGTTCAATAGCAAAGTCCCAGTGCTGATTGGTACAAATGTTTTACTCAAGCTGTACCAGCGTGGTGTCAGTCATGACAAGTCTAAATTTCTCAAAAGATCCGACAGTTTTGCAGCACTGCTCCAGCATGTAGCTCGGGTGCACAAAACTGAAACCAAAGCTTGCCCTGTAAAGCTGCATGGAGAAAGGTCCATAACCATTCCGGCCAGACACAAAATCTGCCTTTTGGGAGATGTTAGGGTGGGGAAAGCCAATCTCAACACCAACTTTGTTGTTGAACCTCCTGAGTCTTCCTTCTTGCCAGGTGGTCTGTTCGTTCAGAGTGCACTGATTAACATTAACACAAGAGCCTCAAATAAGATTCCCGTTGTCCTCAGTAACACTACAGATCACAATGTCACCCTGCCCCCAAAGTGTGTCATTGGTGAAGTGTCCGTAGTTCAGAGAATAATGCCCCTGGCCTCTACTACAGAAGGTAGTTCACAATCATCCAATGGCAACCATTCATTTAACCTTGACGACTCCCCAATGCCTGAGGAGTGGAAAGAAAGAATTAGAGAGAGGTTGAACTCCATTCCTGAGGTGTTTGCACTGGATGAGTTATCGTTTGGCCATACTGCCACTGTAAAACATCACATCCGTCTGCAGGATGATACGCCCTTCAAAGAAAGATCTAGGCCAATACACCCCAGTGATCGAGAAGCTGTTAGGCAACACCTCAGAGAACTCCTGGATGCAGGCATTATAAGAGAGTCTGAGAGTCCCTTTGCTTCCCCAGTGGTTGTTGTAAAAAAGAAGAATGGAAAGATTAGGCTGTGCATTGATTATAGGAAGCTTAATAGCCGCACTATTAAAGATGCCTACGCTCTTCCTAATATCGAGGAGACATTTTCAGCTCTTAGTGGTGCAAGGTGGTTCTCAGTGATGGACTTAAAATCTGGTTACTACCAGGTGGAAATGGCAGAGGAAGATAAGGCCAAAACTGCTTTCACGTGTCCCTTGGGCTTCTACGAATTTA